TACTGCAAATTATTCTAGAGGATCCTGTTAAACTTGCAAACGCAACGCTCAAAGTGGATGGTTTGAACCAGAAACCAGCTCTAGGTCTCCTAAGTAAGGAGAGGAGCACAGGCGTCCTAGTTCAAAGCACAGGCTTCAATTCTCTGCCTCGTCTCATTTCGAGCAGAAAATCTGACAAAAGCAACATATTATCAGGGAACGAGGGGGTATTTACCTAACCAAATCAAGCATGTTGTAGCTACATCTGACCTACTGCCAGTCTGAGCTGGCATGTTTCTGTGGCACGATACAGCATTTTGCAAAAAATGCTTGATTGGCCCTGCGTGTAATACAGCTTTTGTTGCTCGATACTGAGCAGAAGCAACCTATGACTTTGGATTGCAGAGACTGTACAAGTGCCTCCACACTACAGCGTCCTTCACCAACTGCTAAATTAAATTGCTTTGTCAGAAAAAAAAAAAAAAACCTCTCAGAGAATTTCTGACCAACTGTAATATTGAGAATATAAATGATTTTTTTTTTTTTAATTTGCACATTGTCTGAAGAGAGGAAAAGCTGGAGAGGCAAACAGTAACCTCTGATATTAACTGTTTTATCATGTTCCCAATGACCAGCAGAAACCGCAGCAAAAAGGCATCACAAAACCTCTGAAAAACACAAGCACATTATCAGACTAAGTGAGGAGACAGAAAAATCAAGCACAGCTCACCTTGACAAGGCTGACAAGAAAATCATCAGTAAAATAACCACACTAAAAAAAAAAAAAATTAAAAAAAGAAAAAAAAAGAAAAAAAAGAACAAACAGAACAAGATACATTCACTTTCAGATTATTCACAATGTGTGGTTTTGGATCTTCTAAAAGCACAATTGATTTTCTACTAACATATTAACTCCATAAGCACAAAGAAAGGCAGCTGGTGTCAGCAGAATTACTCAGGAGAGGGACCTACATGTTCCCTGTTGCAGTAAGAAGTCCTCTTGGCACAAAGAAGCCAGAAAATGGTGTCTTTCCCCAGCTCACCAGATTTGGCAACCACTTAAAGGCTATCCTAAAATGACTGCAATTATATTTCCAATTTCAGTTGCTGGCCTAGTCATCTCCTCATTGCAACTCTGCCATTAAAAGCATTTGGATTGTCTTAATATTGCCCAAAAGAAAAAAAAAAAACCCACAAACCTGCAGCAAGCTATGCAGTAGCTTCATGCCATCTAAAGAGGAGCCTAAATGATATTTGGTTAAGTAACTGTTAAACTGTAACTATGCTACATTTACAGAGCTTTACAAAAATGCAGTATTTAAAGAACTACAAAAAAGATTATATTTTCCTCTCACTGAAGTATTGAAAGCAGAATGTTCTCTGCTGGAAATGAAACGGTGGGCGTTTGATGGCGTATTTTAAATAGTATTCCTCTTTGTGCATGCAGTGTAATGCCACCCAAGGGGGAGATTAAAAAAAAAAAAAGTCTGTAATTTGTAAGTCCATTTCAAAGTCATATTGAGGATGATGTGAAATTCAGGATAGGATTCTTGAGAGAAATCTCCCTGGAAAATGTGTAGGTACCTCAGGGAAGCTTTGGATTTGCTTCCAAACACTGGAAGACTGTTCTGGTTTTTGACACTTCAATGTTGTTTACTCTTTGCATCCAATTTCGGAATTATTGAGTGGTTTATTACAAAGGTGTATCTTTTGACACAACAATAAGATATTTCTCTTCTGCAACCTCCAAGATTTCTAAAAATCCCTTACTATTCATCTTGAAGCTTCTATCGGTAGTGAGGATATAGCAGTTACTTTTACAGTAAGGGATTAATCCTGCCATATTATGGAGGTAACAGACATTTACAGGTGTGAAGGACCTTCCTTCTTGGCCCTGGGAAAAGCAGGATTGCCCACGTTGGTCTGATCATTCTGAAACAATTGCAAACAATACCATGCTTTAAGGCTTTAGGTAGTCATCAACAGGGATTAGGAGGGAATAGTCTCCTTAATAGACTTCTGGCTAAATGGTTTTTCTCTTTCCTCTGTGTCGCCTTCCCTGAAGTGTTACAGATGGATCTGGGGAGAGGAAAAGGGTAACATCATTTTCCTGGGGTCAGATTCTCACCCTTAGATGCCTGAGTGAGTGGATGCTTACTTTCAAGTTCATCACCAAATCTGATGTCAGAAAAAACTCTTCCCCTGCATCAGATGAGGAAGGAGCAGGGATGGCTTCTGTCTTCACTTATAGGGCATAACATGGCTTGATTATAGAGATAAGCAATTTGATCATGTAATCACATCCCACTCATCAAGAAGGCAAGGAGTACCAGTGACACTGCGATCCTTGTCTTTTTTTCCCATGGCCACAACAATTTGTACTGCAGAAGACTTAAGTGCTTCAGTCCAACACTGAAATCTTTAATCTAGCATGGCATCAGAGTGAAAGGAAAAGCAACCACAGAACACCACAGCATATATTCAAGCGATTTCCTTTCCTCTTAAATTCTAGTGAGTTTAATTTCATTTAATTTTTGCGATACAGAAGCTGGACATCTATCCTTACTTGTCTTCTGTGTTCTTCTGCGTTAGTGGAGAGAGTGTGACATTAATCACTCTCCAAACCCCGACCCTGAACTTGTCTCACTAACCACAAGGAGAGCCATGACAACTAACTTGGACAAGAAACCTACAGTTCATATACCTCAAAGCAGGCAAATTTTGGAAAATTATTAAACCATAGGAAGAAAAGGTCTCAAGTATTTTATGTCGATACGTACTTACCTGACTGTTTTCAGGTCAAAGAAAACAGTGACAGATAAGCTCTTGTGAGGACATCTAATCCATTACACTGAGATAATTCCCTCTACCAGCAAGACACCAACACAGCTGTGTCTCACTTTACTCTGCATCGAGAGGTTCTTTTGTTACTGGTATGAATGACAGATTTGAATCTGGCAGTACCTTGAGTTCGGTTTGTCCAGTTAAATGAAGATAAAAGTGTATTTTGCACTACAAACAGATGACACAAGGCTTTTTTTTTTTTTTTAAAGTCCATACCATCCTCTAAACTTGACACACACACAGCAGCCAGTCAGACTACTATTTTGCACTTTGATCAATGTAACTTTGTAAGTCTCTCATGCCAATAATTCTCCTCTTTTGAATTGGTATTAGGTGAGATTACCAGAACAAAACCAGAAAATTATGATCAGTTTATAGTCCTAGCTTTCACAAATGATAGGTTAAGGTTTAGCAGTGTAGTAAACTATAAACAATGTGCTGGTTTTGGCTGGGGTAGAGTTAATTTTCTTCACAGTAGCTGGTATGAGGCTATGTTTTGGGTTTGTGCTGGAAACAGCATTGATAACACAGGGATGTTTTGGTTACTGCTGAGCAGGGCTTACCCAGAGCCAAGGGCTTTTCTGCTCCTCACCCCACCCCACCAGCGAGGAGGCTGGGGGGGCACAAGGAGTTGGAGGGGACACAGCCGGGACAACTGACCCAAGGGATATTCCAGACCATAGGACGTCATGCTCAGCATGTAAAGCTGGGGGAAGAAGAAGGAAGGGGGGGCGTTCGGAGCGATGGCGTTTGTCTTCCCAAGTCCCCATTACGCGTGATGGAGCCCTGCTGTCCTGGAGATGGCTGAACACCTGCCTGCCCATGGGAAGCAGCGACTGAACTCCTTGTTTTGCTTTGCTTGTGCGCAGCTTTTGCTTTCCCTATTAAACTGTCTTTATCTCAACTCAGGAGTTTTCTCACTTTTACTCTTCAGATTCTCTCCCCCATCCCACCAGGGGGGAGTGAGCGAGCGGCTGTGTAGGGCTGAGTTGCCAGCTGGAGTTAAATCACAACAAACAATAACCTTGCTGCTTCTGTAATAATGCAAAAGCACTATATAGATTGTATCCATATTGCTTAGTCTAAAAATAAACATGTACAAATTAAATAGGACATACATCAAGTAAATATACACGATTCGTTTATGAAAAGCAATTATTTGTGCTGAGGAGCAAAAGTCCAGTGTTAAGCTAATCAAATAATTAAGAATAAAGACAAAACAACATAAGCTTAATTATTATTATTTTAACATGTTAAAAATACAGTCACATCAAAATAGGATACACAGTTATAAAACTGTTGCAGATGACATAAGAAAATAGTGTGTATATATTTTATATATAAAAATCTACAGTATTTACTAATGCTGATACATATTTTGGAGCCTCGTGTTGCTTGCACAAATAAATTGTACAGCTTTGTTATGAATTACAGAACCATCGTTAAACACTGAGATTATTACACTTAGCCACAATATTATATACATATATTCCTAAGCTGCTGTAACCAATTAGAACTAAGGTAAGCCCAAGTCATATTTATCTTCACAATTTTAGTTTAGAGTTTCAGTGTAGTGCTTTGCTACTGTTACTTTGCTGCAGTTCGCAATTTTTAAAATATAAAATTGCCCAGTTCATTAAAAATTACATCAAACACATTATATACACAAAAAAAGTTTTTGAAATATACTCAGTAAATGTTACTTCCATTTGTAAAAATTGTTTTACTTCTGTACCTTAAAACTTACAGAGCCAACCTGCAGCAATAATAGGCACTAAAGCTCATTCTTTAAAGGGGGGGAGAGGGAATCCATTTCTATCAGTTAACAAATCTTACAACACAAAAGATAACAGGACAACCTTCCAAACCATCCCAAACTGGTGTTGATACCAACGTTTGGTACTTAAGTATTAGAAAAAATATCTCTGTTAAGCGCTCCAAGGACCTCTTCTGGTGAGATCCTTATCTGCCTCAACTCCCATTGGTTTCAATGAGAGGTGAGTGCATTCAGCACTTACTACGTGGCACCCAGCAGCTCACAGGACTGCATCCTATATGTGCCACTTAACCTGCACTTTTTTTCCACCCCAAATTCACAGTCAAGGAAAGGAAAACACAAAGTAGAAAAGGCTGCAAACACTAATTAAAAATACATTATCAGGAACAGTCAGGATCATTTTAGTGTAAAACACCGCAGTCTCTCAGCAGCCTGATAGCACAGCAGCACATGTCCAATCACAGACATGAACCTACCGGCTCTTTGGGGTAAAAAAGGGCAAAACAAAATGGAATTGACATGACAAAGCTTAAGAGAAGGGACACTGCATACTCACACGGCTCAGGGAATATCAAGCCTTGATCAAATCTCAGACTCCTGCATGTACTTCACAAGAGCATCAACGAGCTCTGATACCTGTGAGATTTGGCCCTGCAACCAGTTTGTTTAGTTTGACAGCGCAGCATGACAAAAAGTGAAGAGTGCAGCACCATTTCTGTATCTGGCATTACTCTCACTGTGCTCCAATACTTTGCATATAGGACGACATTCTGAAGGTAGATTTGGGTGAGAAGGTAAAAATTCTCCACTTTCAATGCAAATAAAAAACTAAACACTGCCCTGAATTTTAAGCACCATTTCTTAGCCAGATTAGAGAGACATTTTTGGCCTTCTGCTTTTGCCTGCCTGGCTCCTTCTTGCTGAGGAAAACGACAAACAGTAGTCAAAGGAGAGGAAATTAACCCTCACATAAGATTAAATTAATAATCCCAAAGCATCTCTCCTGCCCAGAACAGATACTGGGATGCTGAGGCAGCTGTATAAAAACGACAGAAATTCCCATTCAAAATGAATGACTTCTCAAATAAATTACAAAGAAAAATTAATATGAAATAAAAGTACTTCACAAGCTTTGCCCAAAGTTAAACGCATTTACATTTAAACTCTAGCTCTCTGCCATATGCATTTGTGTATTATAAGTGCACACTCACACGCGCGCACGCACACATCTATACAGTGCATTAACAATGTCAGTCAAAATAAAACTTGTAAATGTGTTACATGTTTTAGGCAGAAAGATTGTAACACAGATTATTTAAATGTAAGGAACAATGACAGTATTAACCATATTGTCTATATGATCTTATTGCTATGTCTATGTGCATCAGATCACTTTCAATAGCTTCAATGCAAGTCTAAGAACTCAACTAGCCTTCAATGAAAGTCTGAAACATCTTTGAAATAGTGTTGTTATTTCTGAGACCCATGTAAACTGTCCGCATTTCAGAGAAGAACTGAGGTGGACTACTACTAACACAGTAATGTTTAACTGGTTTTGGTTCTTGCCATTTTACTAAGTATAGAGAGATTCTCAGAGAAGCACAGATTCATGCATAGACAATCCATCATTTCTATTTCGATAGTGTTGGGCTTGAGCTGACGGGCTTGAAAATTGGTATTGTGGTGAACCATGCTCTTCAAAGGTTGGTGAAGTCCTGTATCTTATTGGACCATCCACAGAAGCAGGAGGAAGACTATGGTCTTGAAAAGGTGCTGACTGAAAATGCTGATATTTCTGGAAATTATCCAAGTGGCCTTTGTTAACATCTTGGCCCCAGGGCTGCCTGTAGGGTTCATGTCTGTAAATATATGCAGCATCTGGCCACTTTCTATCTTCTGGTAAATAATCCACTGGAGGGATTATGAATTTGACACCTGTGGGAGACCTTGAGTTGCTGGTATAAGCATCGACAGGGGCTACTTCTATCTGACCAGGGGTTGGTGAAAGGGGATTTTGGCGACTGGCAGGATAGGAATTCATTTGTAGCTTATCCGGAGAATAATCTACTGAAATAAAAGAACCATATGGCCTACCAGAAGAGCTGGTTCGATTCCCATGATAATGTAGAGGTACAGAACTTGTATTGCCTATACTGGAAACATGCTTTGGAGAATTTCCATGGTAAGTAGGTGGATTACTGTAACATGGCAGTGGCTGTTTTACATTCAATCCATGAGGTGATCCATCAGATTGCGATGAATATTTTGGAGATCTGGGTTGTGAAGTGAAGGCGTAATTATTGGGTATTTTTAATGGAGCTGGTACTTTTTCAGTTTGCTTTCTTGGACTATTAGAGTATGTTACATGCCTAGGGCTCTGCGGACGAGCTCTCTCAAGTGTCTCTTCAACAAGATTCTCACTCTCATTATCAACTTCTGGAACATTGTCATACTGAGATGCATTAGACCCTCGCTTACCTTCATCAGCATCCAAAACCCTCATCTTTTGCTTTACATTCAAAGGCTGCGTTTCTCCAGGATTTTGTGGTGGGCCTGAAACCAAATGGTTTATTGGCCTTCCTTTCACCTCTGCAGTAAGTTTCATTGTCTTTTCAATTATTTTGATATCAGACGGTTTATTCCACCTAGGTACAAATTCCTTTCTTGTATTTGAAGTAGCATTAGAATTTTGATTAGCAGCTGCATTATTATACTGTCTCGAGTTGTCTTGCTCTGTTGGCTGAGGCTTTCTTCTGGTATCTACCTCATTCTTAGGCATACTACTTTGTGCCTCTATTGGTCGAGTCTTCTGCTGTTTTACGGAAGGTTTCTTTTCCAGTGAATTAATTATTTTTCGGTTATTTGGTGAACTTTCTGGTTCTTCTTCTGGGGATGGTCTCCTTTCTGTCCTTGTTGTTTGTGTACCAGTGCTGTTCTGTCCATTAAGCACTGGAGTGGAGTTAAGCATAGCAGGCTGAGGTCCTGATGGAATCTGCCCCAATGGCTTCTTTGGAAATTCATCTTCTTTACCTAAAACAAGAACAGTAATAACATAAATTCACCTTTGTACAGAAGTCGTCTTTGATCTGCCGGTCATGCAAGCAAAAATAGCTACAACCTCTATTACCAGGGCCTCTCTCTGGGTCACCATTCTACTAAACACCTCAAAGGTTTTTCTGTGTACTGACATCGAACAAAGGTTTTGTTTAGGCTCCCATCTCAACAAGTTACTCTAGTCTTCCTTTCTACAGTTGACGCAATCCTGCCAAGCTTTTGCTCATTCATGACACTGCTGAAAAAAAATAATTTTCCTAGATGACATTTTGGTTACAGTACCTACCCTGTATGTAATCCTTCTCACATTGTCCCTGTCACATTAAGTAAACTACTTTCTTCACTTCAAAAATCCTTCCCAATATCCCTCTCCCAATCTATTGTCTTCCATTCATTCACCTTTTAATGTTCACTGCTGGTAAGCTATAGTATCAGCTCCTCACTCACATGTACAAGCTTCCTATCAGACATCCCTGAACTTTCTCTCACTTCTTTTTTTGGGTGGAGCTCCTCATTAACATCTGCACAGTTAAGTCCTTGTTCCCCCTCAACCCCCGCCTACAAATTTCATTTTCAGTATTAAAAAGCTACAGTATAACTAAAAGACTTTATGCATAACCATATTTTTTTCAATTCAGTTTTTTATCAGTTATAGAACAATTGAAGTAGTTAATACTAATACTGGCTACGTCATGACTTCAACTGAGTGTTCAATAGATGAGTTTTGCCAAACACAAGGACATCATTTACAGAACTAGAATATGAATGGAAAGTTCTCCCAGACTGGAGCTCAATACATCACAACAGCCAGTGGTACAACATCAGTTATGTGAGGACCCAGAACAATCCACATTGCCACTACAGAAAGAATAAAGAAGTGTTTCATTGCTTGATGCTGCTCACAGAACAATTTACATTGAATTTTCCACTGCAGCCTTTCTCCTTAGCAGTCAACGCCCTTCGCATCCTCAGCCAAAGTCTTTTATCATATCCACTTGCATATAACTTATTTAATTACGTAATACATTACTTTCCCATTATGAGCAGAAAAGGTCACCTACTTCTCATTAAATATAATAATCTAAGTTTAATTTATTTGATGTTCAGTATTTCCCAAAAAATAAAAAAAAACTTTTAAAGTCAGCATTACCAAACAAGTCTTACTCACTCTGTATCTATTTATTAAGCAAAAGCTCTGTTGTAAGGAGAAAAAAAAAAGACTACCCTTGCTTAAATGTTATGCAAAATAAATTATATAAAATGGCTGTCAGTAAAATAATTTTATTTAATCCCTGCTTCTTCCTAAGACAAGAACTGTAGAATCTTTCTCTATCATCAAAGATCATAAAGTTAGCACCTCACTCTTTCTAGCTTCTTTTAATTTGTAATTAAAATTCCTTTTATGTGTCTATATAGGTTCACAGGAGCGAATACATACAAATGTCTCTACCCCTGACACAAGTGCTGTGGTTAGAAGTGAGCTATGTTCATTTCTACAGTCAATAGTATGAGTTCAATCTTTGATGACTGGTTCATGATAGAGATACACAGAGGAAAGCCAGCAGCCAAGGTCAGTATTATTTATTATAACAGCATTACAAACTACCATCACGGATCAGTTGCTATATAAACTAAATGAAAACTTACAGTTTGTGCCAGCTAGGACATAGCAGGAGGACAGCAGAGAAGAATACAATGACGCCATGTGTCATGACTAGATAACTAAACAAAAAGTAAACAATTAAACTAGCCTTTTCTTGATTTTCAAAGTCTTCATATGAGGCCAAAGGTCATATGGAAACCTACCCTTTCCTTTAGAAATACCTAACTTCAGAAACCTCAGTTTACATATAATAAACACAGCCTACCCAGGCTTTCTGTAGAAAACCCCTCCACTCTTATTTTCCCCTAGTTATCCTTCACTCAATTACGATCATACAATTATTTAAATACACAAACCTACGCTCTTACAGTGAAGGTACTCACTGTCTACCTTGCTTATGACCTGGCAAAGGAAGATACTCGTGCTGAAACCTCTCCTCAATTACTTGTTCCCAAAGGAGAGATTGCACATGTTAAATCATCCTACAGGATTATACACCTGGCACACTATACCTAGGTAAATGGTTGCAAGACAGTGCTGCAGGTTACACAGTGGGGTAGGGCCTCAGCGTTAGGCTCCAATGAGTGGCTCTTGGAATTACAAGTCTTGTGGTTTGTCCTCTTTCACTGTGGGGCCCCACTATTCACAAATCAGGCTAAAATCTGGCGCATGGATTTGTAGACTTGCGCTCCCCTGCAGCACACCATTGGAAGAACAGATGAGGGGAGAGAGGAATGAGTTGCATGGATGCTGCAAATGGATGATTTAACAGCTCTGCAATATGCTGTCTGCTGCACCAGCGCCTTCAAAATTGTTCTTTATTCTTTACAAACAGGAGTTCACTTTCTGAACTTGCTTCAGGTTGGCAAAAGGCATTTGTACCATCTAATTCCACTTGCATCCTCAAACAGTGTCAGGCAAAGCTGAAGATCTTGTCTTCTAAATAAAAGTGAATTTTGCCCATAATAAATATTCCTGATACTGGAACTATATTATTACAGTGCTTTCAATCTTACTAATTTGAATGTTAAAATAGCATGAAGTCTGATTGAAGAAACAATACTCAAAGTACATACCAAAAACTTGCCATCTAAATCATATAGAACTGGTCTTTTTATGCTGGTAATCCACTTATAACCTCCAGGTGATCCACAGTAGTTATGAGATAGCGTAAGAAAATGGCTCGAACATCTGTAAATTATTTCATTTCTGTCCTTGTATGCAATAAATGTTTTAGAAAAATTACTTTTCTTCCATGCTTGAAATTACACTATTCAAGCTATATATAAAAAACCTGAAGACAAGTTCCTCTAGTAGCTGCAATGCTTCCTTACTTTGTACAAAGACTTTAAAAGCATGAACTGATTTCCTTTCTTCCAGCTTTCACTCTAAGAAATGCATACAGAGCAAGATGAGATGCTTTGAAATATACTTGGTTGTACAATAAAGGTGGGTTTTGTGTGAGGTTTTTGTTTTTTTAATTTCACACACTTAAGGTTTCTTAATTACCATTAAGCTCTAATAAAACCCAAGTGAGAATACTGCAGACATTTTTATTGAATTCTATCTAGGCTGCTTTGAAGATTACTTTCTGTCATCTTTCCTTCACATTTCAGGGTAAAAGAACACACTACAACGAGGCATATGTGGGCTGCACTTTCTAGATGATGTATGCTATAATATGAATTACAGCTGTAAAATTAATATCAGAGAAATCTTACCGTGTCTGTTGTAAAACTGTTAAAACTCAACATTAATTCATGTACTGAGTAACAAGCAAAGCGTTCCAAGACAATAGTTCATTTTGAAGAAAACCTCTGCATTCTAACAGCATGATACCATGTTTATAGGCTGGTAATACCAGAGCTTAGTGCTTTCAGGGAAAACAAAAATATGGAACAATGAGTACGTGTGGAAGGAGGGTCAGCAGGGAAAAGAAGAAATACAGCTTTAAATCTTAGCCACAGGGCTTCCACAGAACTTGGTTTAACTTGACCTCAGACAGAAACAAGTGACACAGCTTGCTTAATCAACCACATCTGCATGTGAAACTTTAAGAAAGGCCATATTGCTAGAGGTACTCAATACAGTAATCAAAGCTACAAAGCACAGGCCTTGTTCTGGTTCAAAAATGCTTGAGCTGTAATCACCTCCTACCATAAAATGCATTGGAAGGAAAGGAGTTGTATAAGGATCTATGATGTTGCAGCACAAAGATGTCCTGCAAACCGGTCACCTTCTAAAGGAAAATCAATTTGTTTTAAACTGCAAAACAGATATTTAATTCTGATTTAAGTATACAGGTCATACATACATATACATACATACACACACAGAGCTGTCACTTTCAGTGGAACTACCAAGTACTTTAAAAACAAATAAAAACTCCTCAAGTTCAAAAAAAGTCCACAAAGATGCAGAGGACAACTGAATCTATCACAATACACATTAATGCAATACGACATTCCTCAAATGCACAAAATAGCATGCAAACTATGTCCATGAATGCTTTAAGCAGTCCACTATCAGCAAGAATAGCAAGAAAATCATGATGCTGCATGCTGGCAAGAAAGAAATAAGGTAATAAAAGCAAAAAGCTGAGGAGAAGAAACCACAATGCAAAAGGAAACAAAAGAAACCAAGTCACAACAACCATTTCTACCATTAAGAGGTACACAAATAGCTCACCAGAGAAGCATGCAAAAGCACTAATTCTTCTTACAAGCCACATATCTTTTATCTACCAATTTTCCACTCCAAATCTGCCTAAAGCCTCACACGCAGCTCTCAACCATCATCTTTACTACTTCAGCTAAACTCAGTATTCAAACTCCTCAGATCAGAGCATGCAGAAATTTTATTTGGATGTTTTCAAGGACATTCAACTGAATATGTTTGTGCTGTTGATCCAAAGTCTGAGTTAATTCACTTTCTGGACATACCTGTCTGAGGAACAGAGAAGCTTTTGAATTCTACAAGAAGTATTTCTGGGGCAAGTGCTTTTCTATACAATCTATGATGTTCACACACCAGGTTTAAAAGCATTTTGAAACTAGAAGTTAAGACAAAGCTGTCCAGTTGAGCTGTGATTGTTTTGGCAGCGACCTCTACAATCATCAAATGTGCCTTTGTCTTCTGAAGCAAACCAGGCAATCAGATTTCTCCCAGGCTACCAGTATTTGCATGAGATGCAGAACTGGGTAACTCTTATCTTTCTCTCCTTCTCTTCCTTTAACAGAACAAGTTCCTAGACAGAGTTTAGTTACTGGCTTTTCCCAAAGACAAACATAATAGCTTATATCAGACCTTACAGAGCTGGGACTATAGAATTTTCTATTTTTCCTTTAAAAGAAAGGTAGTGATTTAGTTGGCT